AGATGGCCCTTAACAGGACTGTATTTTGCATTTGTGCTGCCCAAGGTAGACGGAACTCGGGCACCCCTAATTTAAAGGCCACCCGGACACACAGACACACCAACTCACTGACCGGCACAGTCTTAGATACTGTTACGCTACTTGGGTGATTTGGCTTGGAACTCAACTGCAGCTTGTAAACCTCCCTAATTACATAAGTGAAGATATGGAGAAACTTTAAAGTATCAATACTGTAGCTTTAAGAAAAGAGGGAATCGCTGGTAAATTGATTCAAACGAAGTTTTAATAAGTGTTAACTTAAATGATTGCATTTAGGCAATAATCCAATAAGAAGAAGTGCAAGTAATAAACAACACAAACACAGGCTTGCGCACGGGGTGTGCCGGGTGTGCCTGGGCACACCCTAATCCCAGCGGCATGCCTATGTATATTGAGACCGGCAGGGGAGATCTCAGGATCCCCCCTGTCGGCTCATGCAGAGCCGGCGCTATCTGAGCGCCGGCTCTGCTCTCAGCCTCCCTCCCCACCGACCCACAGGCAGGGAGGGAGGCTGGAGAGGACCGACGGAGCTCTTGCCAGCAGCTCCGCCGGGTTCCTCTCGTGAGAACTGAGCGTTGCCGTGGTCACCATGGCAACACTCAGATCTCGCAAGAGTGAACTCTAGCCCCGCAGGCTACAGTTCACTCTCACCACTAGGACCACCCGGGAAGGCAGAAAGGATCCCCCCTCCTTGGCAAAAGGTAACAAGGGAGGGGAGATATTAAGCAATGTGCCCCCACCTCCACTGGACCACCAGGGAAGGCAGCAGCACGGTCCCCCCTCCCTACATAAGGTAATAAGGGAGGGGGGATCTTTATTAACTAATCTGCCCCCCACCTCCACCCCCACAAATCACCCAAACAGCGCACACACACACACACAGCACCCACACACATAAATACATCACACACACAGCACCCACAACATCACCCACACACACACCACACAAACAGAACACACAAACACCCACACATACGCAACATCCTCACACATACACCACACACATCACCCCCACACACACACATACAGCACCCACACACATACAGCACCCTCACACACACACACACACAGCACACTAACAGTACCCTCACAAACACAAACAGCACCCTCACACAGCACACTAACAGGACCCTCACACACAAACAGCACCCTCACACACAGTACATTAACAGCACCCTCACAAAGCACACACACACAAACACCCACATAGCACACTACCAGCACCCTCACACAGCACACACACACACACACACACACACACACAGCAGTGTATTTATATATATATATATATATATATACACATACATACACACACACACACACACACACACATACATACACACACACACACACACATACATATACGCGGCGTGTGCTTGTGCTTGAAAGAATAATCTTTCATAGAACAATAAGCAAGTAGCTAAGAATATTTGCGGAGCAAGAACAGTTCATAGTGAATAAGCATGATGGGAGTTGTCCTCCATATAATTAGTAGCTTGTAACAATGAAGATTTGAGTAAGCAAGCATTAGTTCATTAATAAATGATAATGTAGACAAATAGCTGAAAGATATACTTAAGGTTAAGTGAGTAGTCCTCCAATAGCTTAGGGATATGGTCCACTTGTAAAGTAAGTGAGTTTCTGTTCTCCAGTAATCCTCTATGACATGAAGCATACTTGTCTTAGTCCAGAAGGCTAGGACGACTTCAGAGTTTGTAGAGCCGGCGTGTCCCAGGAGCCGGCGTGCATATTCGGAAGTAGGACCCACAATGCCAGAGCTTGTGGAGAGGTAAGTCTGGCGGAAGTAGCTCCCAGTATCACCAAGCTCCCTCTCTCTGGCACGGTCTCCCTAAATACCGTCAGAGCTGTGTCAGAGGGGGGCGGGGTCCGGCTCCACACAGCGGAGTGCCGAATCCGGAAGTGTTACCGCATGACAGGACCCCCCACCTAAGGAGCACACTCCGGGTGCTATTACCTCGGTTTATGAGGGTATCTTCTGTGAAAGGCAGTAATCAACCTCTTGGCATTTATTTCAGAGGAATTCTCCCAGGTGTTATCTTCTTCTCCATAACCCTTCTGTAACGGACCATTTTGCTCACAAGGGGTAAAAACCGTTTAGGCGATCGTCCCCCTTTCCAGAGATGCAGGCACAGCTACTGCAGAACACCAATCCGCCGAACAGGAAACCATAGGAATGCTGTAAACAGCCGAATAGGAAAAAACATACGAATAGGTTTACACTCCTAGCAGTCGAACTGGAACAGCATACAATAAATCCCCCCAAGAACGAGACAAAGCTCCGTGTTGAGGGTCAAGCAGTGAACAGACAGAGCTGTGGGTTTATTGTGCTTATGTACACATTGTTACCCACAGGGTTTTGGAACACAACCAATAAACACATACAATACACTCAGACACTCCCACACAAATTCCTCCCCTCTGCCGGTGATTCAATTACCTTACACAATGGGTAATG